TGATTAATTACTGTATCATGGATGTTAATTCTGGTAACATTCTCTGTGATACGATTTACATTAATTTATTAGGCATGACCATACTACTATTAGAATGGAACTGTTCTCTATTTTCTAAGTTTTTTATAATTTTCCGTTTTTGAGAAGAAGTCAAGTAAATAGTTTGGCACAAATGGCTTTAATTTTTCAAGTACAGCAGCCTAAACATAATTTCCATATGATGTTGCTGTATCACGTAGTGTGCCATTTTGTATCAGAAGTATGCACTGTATATATATATATTATCAGAGAAAATTTTGCATAATGCTATATCTGTTTTCTTGTCACTGAAACAATTTCTATACTACTTCAGCAGCAGTATATTTTTTTAGTCTCAATATAGCATTAACGTAAATTCATACTCATAGATATCTTTCTCTTCGCTACGAATTGATTGCATTTTTATAACTTGAAAGAGTCAAACATTTGCCGTATACTTAATTATTTAAATCATGTATCGCTTGTAAGATTCGCTTTACATGCCCTACCTTAGTAATACCAAGTTCCTTGAGATCTCTACGAGCTAATGTTAACAATTCCCTACCTCGTATGTCGTGTGAAACGAATTTGTCAGTGTATTCTCGCAATTGAAGATTCTCTAACCAAGAGCATACTTCTTGAACACCCCATGTAGTGACTTGATCCCGGGCAGGATGCGTTCCAGAATTACCTCCTGAACGCCGGAATTTCAACCAGAACAAACCTCTATGACGATTCTTCTTATCTCCCTATTCGAGCAAAATATTTCATTATAACTTAAAAAGTTAAAAAATATTACGCCAAGTTAAAGGGCCTACCAGATCATCTGACGGCAGATTTTGTAGATATACTAGTCCTGTGCCTCCTTCGTCAAATATACACTTTTTCAATTCTTGTTCCATGTTGGCCAACGAAAAAGATAACTTATTTTCTAAATCTTCTCGCAATCTCTGCATTGTTTAAATTTCGAATTTAATAAATTAATTATGGTTAAAATGTTGAAATAAAGAATACTTACTAAATTATATGCCTTATCTCTAAGTAATTCACAAGAGTCTTCGTAAAGTTGCCTTGCGCTTGAAACCAATTCTGTTACGACTGGTCTTAAATTGGTCTGGTAAAATATATTATATAATTAATAACAATGAGGTATAGAATAATAAGCAGTATTTGAGTAATTTCAAAGAATAAGAGATCTAAATACAATTGTAAATAAAAAGCGCTAATTAATAAATTCTAATGTAATAAATGCTACTACTAACTCCCTGTAAAATTTTTCCATCTGGATGTACTTGTTCAAGTGCCTGATCTGTACGAGTTGCAACTTGATATAAATCTGGTTCTAAACTTGGATGCGATATAATGAGCAGTTTCACCCATTTAACTAAAGTTGTAACCACTTCAATGAACCCAAGCAAAATATACATTTCTTCATCATTTAAATGTGATGGTTTAGAATGTGTTATTAAACTGGATTTAGATTGTGAGTGCAATTGTGCACTATTTAATGTAGATGTTGATTGAGATATTGCAGTCAGTGTACTACGTTGTTTTTCTTCCCACGTTCTTAACGATGTCTCAAGAGCCTAAAAAATATTTATGTTTATGTTATGCGTATGCTACAGATCGAGTCTTATCATGCGACCAATAGACATATTTTCTTTAAAAATGAACAAAAATGGACTACCATTTAATTCAGGACTATATGTGTATTATTAATACTTTTGCTAATACATTTATTATTAGTATATTATCATATTATTTTACTTACCCTATTTCTATAAAGCATTTGCATACGATTTTTGTGTATGATGCGTATAATTCCAGGTGGTTGAATCCAAGCTTCACCGTCAACCTGTATAGGTACTCCTTCGTCACCCAGAATGTTAATTTGAACCGTTTGACATTGTGCGATTCTGTGATGTTGCAAATTAATAAGTCTTGATGCAGCCATTTGAACAGAACCAAATACTGCAACAACTTCTAGTATACGGTCATCAAATGATGGTGCCAAAAACAAATCTCCTTCCTTGGTGCCACCCCAAAAATTCGTGCCACCCATAAAACTATCAAATTTTAATTAGTTGAAAGATTTATAAAAATACACATTTCACACTCATATACATACCTTGGAATATTTAATACAACAATGCCTTGTAGAGAAGGTAACGGTATGCGTTGACCATCACATTCTAGTTGCACTCTTTGTTCGAGATTCTTGTACGTTTTTTGTAACCACTGTTTAGATCCTAGTACACCATACCACATATAATTTTTAGCACGCGATCGACATTTCTCTGGATGTTCTTCTCTCTTATGATGAAAATCGAGACTAATTTTAGCATCTATACCAATACCAAAATAATTGTTCATAACACAACGTTCGAAATAGCCTTCCCTGGAAGTGAAATAATTACAATGTAATACAATTCAAACAGTATATTAAAATAGGGTAAATCGATGTAACATACTATACGATACTTACATTAGAGTTTCATCCGGATCCATCAATGGTGACACTGCTGCGCAAAGTGCATCTGCATTTGCAAGTAGTGCTTGACTAATGAGACCTGTTCCGCCACTAACATCTATAAACGTTTTAAATATTAATTTAAAATGTAATATGCTAACGTGTCGAACGAAGCTAGAATGACACTACTATCACAGTTTTGTAATATTTATAAAGTGTAAAATACTTACTGGGCCACATAGACAATTGAACTAATGGATTAATAATCGGTAGTTTTTTTGCATCTTCAGTTTTATCGAAAGATTTTACTCTTTCATGACGTAAACTCGCATTAGAACCACCAAACCGCGCAGCTGTAGCTGCTAAGGAAACAACTTCTGACGCTTTTAATAAGCTGCCGCTGCTAATTCGACGAGTTGCTTGAGGAGAAAAGCCAGATTCTGGCAATTCTACGCTTACTATATTTAAATACAATTAACCATTAATTTCACATTATTTAAATGTAATAAAAAAGAATAAACAATAAATACAGCTAAGTAGTTTACAGAAACTTTTGTAGGTATGAATGTATAAATAAATAAATAACTTACATTTTTCCATACTTTCATCATTATATCGCCGTAAATACGGACTCATTTTGTATGGTGTATCTGAATCATGTTGACTTTCAATGGACATTGATGGACTCGGAGGATTAATAATAACACTTATTGTAGGTGGAAAATTATTAGGTTTTTCGTTTGTTGGAGTGGTGTCCGAAGATACGGTAAAGCAACAAACTGGACTTAATAAATCAGACGCTTTAATATCTTGGGAGTCTTTAGATTTCACACCATCTAGTGTACTTTGTTCGGGTGATCCTAATTTAAGCTTGGCTTTACTATTCTACAGAAGGACAGTGCGTAACTGTTAGTTTTTAATTTAGTCAACATTAGTTAGTTAAAATTATGTTTAAAAAAATTGAATTTGAGGTATTAAAATAAAGTATATGTTTAACTCACCTCTCTTTCTGTAACTGTGAAAGTTTTTATTTGTTTTTTAAATGATCTCCTGGCGATATCGTTGCCTTCTACAAACTGAGCTAAACTACAATACTTCTGTGGTTTCTCTATTTGCTCAGACTCTAAACATTCTCTTACAGAATCATATTTTTCCCCAATCATCGTGCTTATCAAATCTTGCCCGAGAGAACTTAAATCATCAATTAAACTCTCAGAATTTTGTACTTCGCTGGTAAACATTTCAGAATTGTCAGGAGAATCGATGTGCCCAATTTCAGAGCTGTCAGATCTTTTTGTGGAGTCAAATATGTCACTACCTATACGAACTGGAATAATTAGGACAAGTTATCTATAAAATGTATAGAACATTGTTTGAAATGAGCTCTTATAGACTAAAACTGTTAATTTTCATCATGCAAAATTATCTGTAATATCCTTGCTGACTTAGAATTTAGAAAATTCTCCATATATACTTACCAATTTCACTTTCACTATTTCGGATTCTATAACTTTTAAAATCCAAAGTATCGGAAATCATGCTGTCTGTACTAGCAATACTATTACTACAACTACCTCTAGTTGTATCTATTTTACTTCTGTTTTCGAACTTTTGTTCGTGTTCCGGTGATATAAGCCGAGAATGAATTGAATCTGTATCAGGGGAAATCATTGTATCTTGCATGGTAGTGTCATCCGAAGGCGAACTTGTATCAAAGTTTGTTCTTGTAACGCTTGTTTGAAATTCTGAAGACCCTTCTATATTATTAGATTCGTGTTGATAATTAGACACATTAATATCTGTTTCTTGTTGAGTATAAACAGATATAGACTCATGGAAATTAAACGAGCTGAAAAAATGTTAATGAATATCAGGATTTTTAATATATACGTATACTTTACAAATTTTATCAAGTTGAATATAAGGAAGTGATTTTAAATGTTATCGAGTTAAATACAACATAGAAATAAATATATCTACCCATGTGGTAAATTCTCACTATTTCTTCTACTGTCAGCGAAACCATCAGGAGCAGGTAATGTTAATAACTCTTCAGGCTGCGAATCTCTTCTAAGATCTGGCATTGGACTTAAAGAAGCCACATTAGGAGTAGGACTAAGATTACATGCTGAATCTTCTGTATTTTTTATAGATTCTATTAACGGCCCCATAGATAAGATTTCACTATGATCAACTTTTAAACCAGGAATATCCATTTGTTGTTTCTTATCTATAATATAGGATTTTTCATCATAAATATTTTATGCTGCAACGTATTTAAAAAGAGATAAAACAAATTTATTTTCAATTAATCTATTATATAGGACTTACTTGATACAGAATTTAAGATTGTAGTATCATCCAATGAAACAGTTACATCTGTTGTTTTGGAATTATATTTAGTGTGTGTATTAATATGATCATCTATGGTCAATTGTGAATA